AGACGAAGAGGATCTGTTCGTAAATATCATTGAAAACGCAGTTTCCTATCCCAAAAATCTTTCTCGCGAGGCAGTGTCAATTTGTAAAGGCGTGAGTAAAAAATTCATGTTTTACCAAAATCCGAAATTCTTTATATTCTCAAATAGGACTTCAGGTTTTATCAGAAGTTAATTCGAGTTTCTTCCATCAAATAATTTATTTTTTTCAAATTTGAAATTGTTTTTAGTCGTGACATTTATATCACATTTATGTAAGTAACTCGTCATTTTATCGATAATCAAGCATACATATTTTATCAGAGGTCTAGCGGATCATAGTTTGAAAGAAACAAAACGCATTTTATCATTTGTTTAGCCTTTATATTCTCTAACTTGTATACAAAATTTCTTTAAACTGTTCGGCATTTCTCTAGCAGATTTGAATAATTACTCAAATAAGTTGTTCACTCAGTTCCCTCGGTTTATATAAGGCTAGTTACTTAATTCTTTGTTACTTAGTATAAAATAATTTTGTAAGTGCAAAATTATCTTTAGCATTTTTGGGCTCTCGCTAAACATGTTAGCATCTACAGTTGTAGGCATAATTCTCACATGATAACTGCGGTTCCATGCCAATGATTGACACTAAATCTCGGCGGGTTATTAAACTTTATCATCACCAAATGTTTAGGTGTTCTCTCTAACCTCTTTCCGGCTAGTAATTTGAGAAGAGATATGGTTCTACTTACTTTTCCTCTTTGAATAAATACGTTTCTTCTTTTAAGACCTGATTTTCCTGTCTAACTGTTAAGATCTTATTGCGTAGAAATGGACAAAAGAAAAGTGGTTGGCTTGTGCCATTTTACACATTGATCTCCCAACTGTGTCATAGACTTCATTTCTTTCAGACGTTCTTAAATGAAGATTGTGGCATCCCTGCATGACGGACCGTCTGCATAATAAAATGATTAAATCAAAGAAATGCTTTATTCTAATAATATAGCCACTTATTTGACGAAGATATATGTGTATATACATCAAATCTTTTAAATACAATTTTGCCTACGCAAAAGCTTGTATCTCAACCAATGGTTTAACCTAAAAATCGGACTTTATCGTGAAATAGCACCCTAATTATCTTTGGGCATCACAGACAACTGTTTTATCTGGCCATGTTTGCATTATAAACTGCTCCTCCTTCTGATTAGAGTGCAGTCTTGCACCTTAACAGGTCTCGAATCTGTACCTAAGACGATCACACTAGCCGTTAGTGCCATTGAGCCACTTGGCATCAACGGCATTTGAAGTGAATCAAACTCCTAACTACAAGTAATATTTTGGCCTCTAAGTTGTGTCCATATTTTCGCCCATTCAGCTCTTTGTATACTGCAATTGCTGTAGATGAATACAGACGGTTTCGCCAAACAAATGCGCCTCCCTGTGATTTCTTCTGACAGCATAATCGCTTTGCTTCGTGCATCGGTGCTTCTTCAGTATCTGCTGTCGGATTCTACTGACCACAAGGAAATTTGGTAGGCTAGGAGTTGAGGGCAAAGTTCCTATTGAAGACAATACTTCAAGTCTGACGTAATAATGTGGAGTATCAGAGCTAAAACTATGATAAGAAGTAACTGCTCTACTGCTCATCTGGTGATCTTATTCAATCCTGTTCTTCTGAAGTCTATTCCCTTAGGTATAGCCTTGTAAAACTTAGGAAGGAGCAGGAATAAATTGAATTTGTATACATGCACTTACTAAATAGGTTATGCATTTAGTTGAGCCAAATGTAGCTCGATTTATGCCTTTATCCAAATAGAAATGATTTATTTG